AGCTGGCTGGGTGTGCCACAGAACACACGCGCACACAGCTAACCGTGCGTTGCACAAACACAGCGTTTTACACGCTGGTGTCCGTGCGCTGCGCATACCTGCTGCCTGCACGTTGCACGCACACACGCTGCTCCCCTGTGCAGCTGCACGGCACACATGCCTGCTGCTCGTCGCCTGCTTCACACGTGTGCTGGTGCTGCTGAGTCTGGGCCAGGGGCAGAGCAGGCTCTGCAGCCTCAGAGGGTGCGTGTGCGTGTGCACGCGCATGTGTGTGCATGCAGGCACGCGTGGCCAGCCGGAAAGCCCAGTGGAAACCATGGCACAGTGCTCGGGCCCCGCAGCCGGGGGCTGTTTGCTTTTCTCCAGGGCTGTGCAGCGGGCAGGGGTCAGATCCTGAGCCGGTGCCATGGCCCCTCTCCCCTCCATACGCACAGCCCTGGGGCAACCCAGCCCCATCCCCCGTGCATCGTGCAGCTAGGCCAGGCCAAGCCATGCTGCGTCCTTGTCCCTCCCAGCTCCGTCCCTTCGCCAGCTGCCACTCAAAGCTGTCACCAAGGCCAGCCTATTGCCAGGCCAGTCTCGCTATAAGACTCCCAGACGCTGGCAGCTGCCAGCACCCTGGGCTTGGATGCGCCGGCAGAGCTAGGGGCACCCCGGTCTGGCACCCCTTGCCCTGCTGTCCACGGGGTCTGGCTCGGGTGATGCTGCAGGGATGGAGACATGCACCCACGTTGCGTCCCCTGGAACTCCCTTTGCTCCAGCAAAGCAGCGCTTCCTAAAGCAGGAGGAGGACGTGGTCCGGTGGGGAGGCAGCGTACGTGGGGGTGTCCCCGTGCAAATGCCTCAGCCTCCCTGCGCAGCTGCTCACACCGTGCTCCGACTGGGCAGGAGCAGCCCAGAGCTGCCACGAACTCCTGCACGTCACTGCTCCGCTGACACCAGCGGGAAGAGTTGGTGGGGAGGATGGGCAACCAGCCCCAAGGTGAGCAGGGGTGCGATGAGGTGTTATGACAGGGTGTGTGGCATGCAAGGTGTGCAATGGGGTCTACAGGGTGTGCATGGAGTGTGCTGTGCAATGGGGTGCATGACAGGGTGTGCACGGGGTGTGCGGCATGCGAGGTGTGCAATGGGGTGTACAGGGTGCGTGCTGTGCAATGGGGTGCATGACAGGGTGTGCACGGGGTGTGCGGCATACAAAGTGTGCAATGGGGTGTACAGGGTGTGCATGGAGTGTGCTGTGCAATGGGGTGCATGACAGGGTGTGCACGGGGTGTGCGGCATGCGAGGTGTGCAATGGGGTGCACGTGGTGTGTGTGCTGTGCAATGTGCTGCACATACAGCAAAGGCACCAACTCCGTACTTGGCACTGCTACAACCGCCGCACACAGCATCAGCATTTCACTGGCATGGCCAAGGGGGGTCGAGGGACATCCCCTCCCCTGCTCCAGCCCCGTCAGCATCGCTCCTGCATCTCCTTGCACTTTGCTTTCTTACCCAGCCCCAGCATCCCGGTGCCTGCTGCCTTCCCCTCCCACTCCCCTCGATAAGAGCGCTGGGGGCTTATCTCCAGGGTCGAGTCGAGCCGGGAGACCAGAGCAGCCTGGTGTCTGCAGGGCAGCAGCCTTGACTGCTCCATATTTCACTGCTATCTGCTCTGTCTGCTAGGATTAAAAAAAGCAGCAATAACCTTCATGGAGGAGCTGTCTCACGGCCGCATCCCAGATGTGCCTCGCAGAGCAGGGAAATGGAGGCAGCAAGGATGGGGATATTCCCACCAGGGCACCCAGGAAAACACAAGCAAGGCAGGACCAAACATCCCAGCACTGCAAAATCTGCCAAAAGCAGACACCCTTCCCAGAGCAGCGTGGAGAGCGTGGGAGGCTGGAGCAGTCCACTGACAGTCCAGGCTCCCAAACAGGAGATCAGGGCTGAGCTGGGGCTCAGACCCATCG